CCCCCGCCCGTCCGCGGGGAGCAGCGGCTGCCCCGGGGCCCGGGGCCGGCGCCGCGCCCTCCCCATTGGCTGCAGATGACGTCACCGCCCCGCCTCCGGGCCGGCCTCCGCGCTCCGATTGGCCGGGCGGGCCGCCCGTCGGCGCGGGCCCCGCCCCCGCCGGGCCGTACATTTACGCGGTAGCAAAAGAGAAAGTAACGAGGATGGTGCGGGCGGCGCGCGGGGCGCGGGGCGGGCGGCGCGCGGGGCAGCGGGCGCGACACGCACCGGCACCAGCGGCACCTCCCGCGGCGGCCGCCGCCACCTCCGCGCACCGGGCCGGAGCGCGACGCGCCGGTGAGTGCGGGGCAGCGGAGCCGAGCCGTGCGGGGCACGGCGCGGAGCGGGGGCCCGCGGCTGCGGGAGCCCGCGCAGGGGCTGCCGCAACGGGGGGCGCTGGCCCGCGCCGCCGCGCGATCGGCGGTAGCCCCGGCTCCTTGCGATCGGGGGCAAAACTTCAGCTTCCCGCTTTTCGTGGGCTCTTTCGTTGTTTCCCCTCGCTGGGGGAGCTGAGTCGTCTCCCTCGTTTATTTAAAAAAATTTAACTGCGTCAGGCGAAGGCGCTCAGGGCGCCCTTATCCTAGTTCTTATCCTAAAATAGGACGAGGGAAAGGTTGGGAAAAGAAAGGGCTGAGAAAGCCTCCCGAACGAGCCGCCGCTGTCCCCGCTCTGCCCGGCCGCGGCACCTCCGCCGTGCCCCGGGCGGGCGGGTCGCGGCACCTTTCGGCGCTCCGGAGGTGCCCGAGGGCTCGCTCCGTCGAGCGGCGGCGGGTGGCAGTGCCCCCCGGCCACCCCCCTTTTCGGGATGGACATCTCCGTGCCACTTCCTAGCAGAGCCAGCTGGGCGGCAAACGGGAGCTGCGAGTGCTCGCCCCGCTCCGGGGGCTTGGTGGAGTTGGTGAAGTTGGTGCTGGGATGGGATTTTCAGAGAGAGCTGTGGCTGCTCCCAAAGTTGCTGGTGAGGGGCACCCACTGTCAGGGCTGGCTTTGGGTATTTTGTTCTTGTCTTGTCTGCCGAGTAGAAACGGGGGGATTCAAATCCTGCGTGCTGCGTCTTAGCAAATGGGAAGGCAAAAGTTGGGCAGGCAGTGTGACCTTGGCTGGGGCGGAGGGGACCACTTTTTGTAGAAGCTGTGAAATGTGATGGGGAGTGGGGGATTTGCCTCACGGACTGCTGGAGAACAGCAGCCTTCCCGAGCCTGGAGTTAGGGGCTTAACTGGGACTGGATTCACCTCTAACCAGGGGGAGGGAAGTGCAAGGTGCACGCTTATAAGGATCTCCAGAAGCTAATTTTTCTGTTTTCTTCTGGGTATTTTTTGTTTAGCCTTACGTGTTCAAGTTTGTAACTGTCTCAGAAAATTTATTCGCAGGCTAATTTTATTCCAGCATGCTGGAAAAGTTGCATATCACCCCTGACACATTCAGCTCTTATGTGTTCCTCCCTGTAGCAGACTCAGCCCAGTAGTTGCTTCCTTTTCAATGAGCAACGGGATGAGGGAATGTGCCTCTGTCATTATCAGTGGTGAGCCTTGCAGCCTGGGGTTTTGGAATAGCTCAGCACCATCTGCATGTATCTAAATGCCTCTTCCTGAGTGTCACTGCACAGTCCAGGCTGCTCGTGTGGATTCTGTGTGCCATGGGCGCACATGCAGATAGCTGAAGTGTTCTCTGCAGTGCTGGAAAGGCTTTGTAGCAGCTACTGTGTGCTGGTAACTGTCAGAAGGGGTTGTTAGCTTAGGGATAACGGGTATTGGCAAAACAAGTTTTTCAATCTGTAGGTTTATGTGATTTCATGATCTGTTTTCATCACCTTTTTTCTTCTTTCCCTCCTGCTTTTTCTTTTTCAGGATGATCTTGAGTTCTTCTTAACTTGCTAGTGCTCAGCCTCCTCATGCCTCCATCTCCTTTAGACGACAGGGTAGTAGTGGCACTTTCCAGGCCAGTGAGACCTCAGGATCTCAACCTGTGTTTAGACTCTAGCTTCCTTGAATCTGCCTCTTCTGCTGCTGAGAGCCACTCCAGTCTGCTTGGTGCAGCTGCCGTGTCCCTAAAGACTGCTAATCTCACGTATATGCCCTCATCCAACGGCTCTGCACGCTCCCTGAGTTGTGGATGCAGCAGTGCCAGTTGCTGCACTGTGGCAGCGTACGACAAGGACACTCAGGCCCAAACTCAAGCGAGCACCAGCAGCACCCACGCCGGAGCCTCCCCCGCCTGCCCTGCCAACCAAATGGTCAACAGCAATGAGAGCGCCGGCAGCCTGAGCCCGCTGGGCGGAGTGGGGAGCCCCGTCTCGGGCAGCGCCAAGCAACTCGCCAGCATCAAAATCATCTACCCCAATGATCTGGCCAAGAAGATGACCAAATGTAGCAAGAGCCACCAACAGAACCAAGGGCCTGTCATCATTGACTGCAGGCCCTTCATGGAGTATAATAAGAGCCACATTCAAGGGGCTGTCCACATTAACTGTTCTGACAAGATCAGCCGGAGAAGGCTCCAGCAGGGCAAGATCACTGTCTTGGACTTGATCTCCTGCCGGGAGGGCAAGGACTCCTTCAAGAGAATCTTTTCCAAAGAAATCGTAGTTTATGATGAGAATACCAATGAGCCAAGCAGAGTGATGCCTTCCCAGCCACTCCACATAGTGCTGGAGTCACTCAAGCGAGAAGGCAAGGAGCCCCTAGTCCTAAAAGGTAATCCTCCTCGTTGCCCAGGCAAAGTGTGTTGGTTTGCTTTGCAGTGTGTGCTCTCTGCCATCAACCTCACTGATGGCTGGACCTTGAAAGCATCTGATTATCTCTGGGAAGGCCTGTGTGCCTCAAGTCACCAGTGGCAAAGCAAATGCCTTCCATGGACAACTCATGGAGCTGGTGGCAGGGGAGATGCTTGCTTTCCTCTGAATGTTATCCTTGAGTAGCAGGAGGGGTGAGAAGTGGACGGAGGAGGAAATGTGCTTCCTGGTGTCTGTCTGTGCAGACAAAGAATTTCCCCCAGCCCTTATTCTGGGTATTTATAGCCCAAGGAGCGGAGGTCTAGGAGGGGATACTTCTCTTTTAGCTTGTCAGACTGACCTTTACTTAGCAGCCTTATTTTAGTTGATGTAAAACTGGACTCATAAGTGCTAGAGATGGACAGTGGGAGAGTAGAAGGAGGGGGGAGGAAAGATGAGGGAGGTCATTTGGTCTGAGGCACTGTGTCATGGACCAGTCAGCAAAACTTGATGAGCAGTCAAGTCTTGTTTTGGTGATATGGGGTCAGAATAATGGACAGAGGGAGATTATTTGTTTAAAAAGTGATCTGAAAGTGTTGTGTTTCTGTGTATAAGTGCTTATGTATGTATATGGCTTTCCTGTAAAGGCCCCTGTTTTAATATGGAATTTGCTTTATCTCTTGATGCTTTGGTGGAGGTGAGCCTCACCAATTAAGGCATCATCCAAGGACACTTCCCTTTCTTCACTTTATTCTCAAGATCCTATTTATAACAATGCTGCCCTCTAGATTAAATTTCCTCTCCCCTGGGTGTTTATGCCATTCAGAGGCATGGTTGGCAGAGTCTGGCTATGGCAGTGGGAAACTAAGGAAGGATTTGCTGCTTAGCTCATACTGTATGTATTTAATTAGCTTATTTTTTCTGTGCAGCTTGCTACTTCCAGCCTGCACAGTGTCGCAGGAGAATGGAATGGGCTGGTACTTTATCCATTTTCCTCAGCTGAGTTTCATGTCTTTGTAGGACCTAAGGGTCCTGTGAGATATTTCTCTGTGGGTGTATTTTGTGGAAGCTTAAAATTGCTGAACTGTGTCCTTGCTCCTGGCAAGAGTGTGGTCATGCTGGACTTGTTCTGATACTTGCTACAGGATCCCAGTATGGTTTCATTGAGTCTCTGGGGTCATGGTGATGCCCTTCATCTGTGGAAGAGGGAGATGGGGTGCTTGGCAGAGCAAGGCTGCCACTGGAGTCCTGCCTTTCTGGTGATAATCCTGCTGTAGTACAGCCTTTGCAGCTGGATATAGTAGTGGTTGTAGTCTGCAAGCCTTCCTATCCTTAGAAAAGTGGTGTGCTGAAGGTGTTCTCTGTGTTCCTCTGAAAACACCTTAGCTTCTATGTACCTCACACTGGTACTTTTTCCGCACCTGGAGTGAGATCCTGGTTGGGATGAAGCTGCAGAGCAGTAATTGGGCAGCGCTGGGCTGTGGGTGGGTTGTGGCAGCCCCTTCTCCCACCTTCCAGCTCTGTGTGCTGCCCTGGGTTTAACCAGGTGCTCGTGGGAGTCCTTGGCCATTTTTCAGGCACTGAGAAAGGTTACCTGAAAGCCCTGCTTAGGAGAAATCCCGTCCCCAAACTGGCCTGTCAGCAGATCTGGAAGTGTGCCAGAAGACAGAAAGCCCAAATCCTTTGCTTTTTCGATATAGTGATGAGCTGGGCTGGAGCAAACCTCACCTCGGGGAGCCTGTAGTGAGGAGCTCCCCCCATCACCGTAACTCACCTCCTGTTCTTTGAAGCGGGGCTCCAGCTGGGATGGAGTTGAGCATGAGATAAAGAAGCGTTTAGGAAGGCTGTGGCTAAGTTTCCGAGCGGGGGGAGTGGCGCTGGAAGCACTCATTATTTAGTTTCACTTGACAGATAGCGTTTTTTCCATCGTGCTTCAGCAGCCGCGGAGCTGGCGCATCCCCATCCCTGGGTTCAGGCGCTAAAACGAAACTGGGGGGTGGCCGGGGAGCCCTCTTTGCCTGCGTTTGTTACTTCGAGTGGTTCCTCTCGCACTTCGCTGCCCTGCCCTAATTTATTGCCGGCCCATCTGATTCCCCCGTGTTGTGTTTGCAAACACTGGTTGCTAGCCGGGCCGTCCAAGCTGCCGTCCCCCTGATCCGGTGCCACCTTCTCCATGTTTGGTGCTGCCTGTCGGCCGCGGCCCCGCTGCCGCTCCCGGGCTCGCTGGCACAGGGGCTCAGCCCCATGGCCGGGGCCGGGCTTGGGTTACCTCCCTGCCTGGGCCTGCGGGTCTGAGGTGCCCCGGGCTTTTTAAGCGGCACAGAAACCCTGTGCTGTTTTACAAGGCCGGGCCGTGATCTATAGATAAATGTATGTATGGTGCACCTTATTAGGCGCGAGTTAAAAAAGAGGTGGTCTGGTTTATTTTTAATGTAGCAGACCGGTATATAAACTAGCGCTGTGACAAGAGAGGGTTTCGTGTGCGCTGTGGCATGGAGGATTTTAAGACCTCTGTTCCTCCCTTTCTATCTGTGTCTCTCCTTGCTGCTTCCTTTAACATTTTCTTGGTCATAAACATAACATATGCATAATTTTGATTTAAGCTCTTAAGAAGAGAGATCTGCTCGTTTCTTTTGCCACAAGGCACGACAACACTTGAGACAGGCATAAATCCTCTGTTTTTACAAAAAATAAACCATTTAGAATCCTGTATTTCACAGTCGTGCTACATGGGCTGTAGCAGCCTGAGCTGTCAGAGCTGAAGCTGCTGCTCAGTCTGTTTATAAAAAAATAGGAAGCAGTCACATTTCCCCCAATGCCCCTAGGCCATGATATTCCATGTTTGCTGAAATCTAAAGGCCTCACTTTTTGTGGATGCTTTATTTTTTAAAAATTTATATTGTTTTCCTTAGCGTTGGAAGGGAGAGGGAGCAAAACTGGAGATACGAGCCCGGTGTCCCTTCTGCTTGAGGCTAGTGTCAAAGCTGAATTTAGAGAGGGGGAGAGCGTGGTGCTGTGACCCTGGGCTGGGTCAGCAGCCCTGGCACTCCTTTGTAGGGTTGTACCCCTTTCCCTCCTGCAAACCCAACACTGAGGCTTCTCTGCCTTCCCTGAGCGCCTCAGCTCATAGCCAAGTGGCCTGGAGTCTTGGGGACATGTGTGCTTGAGTTGGCTACTGGAACCTAAAAATTGAAAATGGGAGCTTCATTTGCATTCAGATGAAAAGTACTCTTTTTCCCTGACTGAGACATTTAGGCTTGAAGTTCAGCTTTTTTGTTTTTTTTTTATGAGTTAAATTAACTTTATAAAGGAAACAAAAATTAAAAATTGAAGCATCTGTGCTAGCACATCTTGACAGCTTTTAACACAAGAGGAGTTGCCTTTGTCTCCCTTACCAGGGTCTACCTATGGCATTATCTCCATCCTGCTTTCTTCCTCTTCCTTCAAGATCCAGCAGTGGGATCCTTGTGAACCTGCTTAAGTCTTGTGTTTAGTTTGTAAAGGTTTCTGTGTTTGAGTTTGAGGAAGCAAAGGTATTCAAAAGCAGAGGTGAAAAATATGATTTGGCTTTTTTTTTTTTTTAATTCCCAGTATATGCTGTAAACTCATGGCTGGACTACTGCAAAGGAGATGGGGAGGAACCAGCTGATTCCTCCACAAAAACTGGTTCCTTCTCTGTTCTTTTTCACAGTCTGTGGAGCTTATTTATGCTCTGGCTTTCAGTCTTCTCTCTGCTCATCTGACAGGGAAATAAACGAAGTGACTTGCTCTCATTATAGTGCGGAGTGTAAGACCTGCCAACAAACCACTTCATGCTTTCTGCCATGGTCTAAGAATAGTTTCAGATCTCTTACCACATTAGAGTCACATATCGGCAAAGTTGAAACAACTACAGAGGGACTGAGATGCTTACAATATGAATAATTACTTGCTTTATGTTGTCCTATATTCATGTAAATACTGTGATCAACTGCCTTTGAAATACCTGACCTGGTCATAATCTATACAAATACATTAATTATTACTGTCATTAATTACATAATTTAACAGTGTCAGTGTTGCTTTAAACCCTAATTGGATTACACTGCACAAGTGTATTTGAAAGTAAAACTTGATGTAATGGTCAACAAATCCAGCTGACCAACAAAACATGTGCCTGGCACTTACTTCCACCAGAGATCTCCACTGAATAAGTATTAGGTCATGGCTGTAATAGGGAAATGTGTAGTTTTAAAAACATTGGATGTTTCACATGTGTTACTTAACATTTAAAAATAAAGTGTGTTCCCTTTGTGCTGCAGAGGAGAGCTGGCCCCATCAGTCACTGGGGGACTGGCTCTGTCAGGGCTGAGATTTCACCTTCAGTGTTCAGACTCTGACTGCTGGTGCTTAAAGTATCTTTCTACTGGAATAAATAATCTTCTTGGCCATCACACTATAAAATTGGTTGTATGTGTTGTTACCTTTTGCATATAGATAAATTGGCACAATAGTGTGGCTGGAGACCACAGTCTTTACCATATTTTGAGGGCATACTTCTGCAGATGAGAGGTACCTCTAAACTTGGAATTAAGAACTAAGAGTTAAAAAGCAAACTTACATTAGGCAAACCTCTCTGGTGCTTGTCAAGAAAAATCTTGTTCCAGTTCAGTGTAAACTGGGGTAACATTCTCTATGATGTTCCTGGTAGGTAGATGTTGGGTTATAATTAGCTGAATGCCTCATGTGCTGCCCTTACCCTTGCCCTGCCAGAGGTGAGAAATTCCGCTACTGAAATCTTTCTAGGACAGTGTGCTCATCTGTCTTCTGACGTTTTATTCTTGAGGTGGGCACAACCATTTGGAGAGGCTCAGGGTAGAAGGGCAGCTTTGTTTGAGTTTTAGGTGGTGTCTGCATCTTGGCTAATACAGATGGACTATTTAAAAAAATAAAAATTTTAAACCTATACATGGGTGGTTTCCTTCTAAAGCAGCAGCCAAAGTT